GCATCATTTAGCAATTAAGAACTTGTGCAAACTAAAATACATGTGGGGTTCCTTTATAATTCCATTCTTGGACCTCTTCTGCAAAACATCTACATGTCCCCTTTTCCTTAGATTGAGGAATATCATAATATCTCCTACCATACTTATGCAGATGATACACAGCTTTACATAACATTGTCACCAAATGACTTGGTCTCTGCTGGGGCATTTGTTAGTGCATGGGACCTGGGTTCAAGTTCTCAGCCTATGTCTGGGGCAGTGGTCCCCAACCCTGGGCCACTGATCGGTACCGGTCCGTGGATCAACTGCACCGGGCCGCAGGCCGCCCAAGTAATAATACATTGGTTCCGTTTTATTTGTACTCTGGGTGTGAATAATCTTTTATTTTGTAAAATATTTGATTTGAAAAATGACCGGATTTTCTCTGCTATATCTCGGTCACTTGAGCGCCCACAAGTTGGCATTAGGAAGAAACAGGAAGAAACAGACGTCCCCCCAGTGCGTGGTAATATTGGAAAGCGTTGACCGGTCCGCAGTGATAAAAAGTTGGGGACCACTGGTCTGGGGGACAGTGCCTGGCAGGCACTGATGTTTGGTTCCTGGGGGCCCTTTGCCCTACAGTTATGGGGGCTCTGTCTGGGGATTCCTCTGTGGTCTTTTGGGCAGGTGTGAAATTGTATCTGTGATGGGCTTTCCAGGTTATTTGCTCTAGGGTGGCAGCTAGTCGACTAGGTCTCAGGATCTTTGCCTGCTTCGGATCACTGGAGGTTTGGTGGCACTAGTTGGTCCTTTTGCACGCAACTGAGCACAATCTGTATATAACCTGGGCTGCTTGTTTAGAATGTTTATACTCAGACATACACACATTCATTTACCCAGACACATGCTCCGACAGGTTCACAACATGGATTGCCCATAGAGGCCACAGAATGTTTTCTGTTTCCTATAGATATAGCAGCTGGTTCCACAGATTTGTTGTGATAGTTTTCCTTTTCTCTTTTTTCATTTTGTTTTTCTATATGGATCTCTCTAATGTTTTGTCTAGTTTATTTGCCCTTTGCCCTCTCTCTTTTTCTGTATCCATGTCAGGTTCGGCATTATTCCTTAAATGTAGCAAAGATCAATTTTAAAAAGCGGTATGGGATAATCAAGTGAAGGTTTTCAACCATAAAGTCTATGTGTGTATAACATGGTTCTGAACAGGACAAGCACAAGAAAGAGGTGACTGTGTGTGTGTGTGGCTTTTTGTCTATGTGGCCCCGTGATGGACTTGTGACCTGTCCAGGCTGTACTCCACCTCTTGCCCAATGTCAGCTGGAATAGGCTCCAGCACCTCTGCAACCTTAGAAAGGAATAATAGGTAAGGACAATGGATGGAACAGGACAATTTATAGTTATAGTACTAATGAAAATACATTGCAACTAAGTGGAAGAGGAAAAGAAAATTTGACTTTGAGTTGATATTGCTGATGTCAACAGGTTATTGTCACAATGATTTTCCATTAAAGAAATGTTGACAGAAGTCTGAGTAGTAGCATATTTAAGCAGAGGATCACCAATTTATCAGAAATAAAGATAAAGATAAAGGGTATTAAAAGCAGTGCCTTTCTAAGAATCATTGGAAGAGGTGTTGCTCATATCTTCCACTATAGAGAACAATTTAATTGATCTATTCAAGAAACCAAAGGATTTCCCATGAATAAATTGTAAATATACAAACCTTAGATGGTCAGTTGGGATTTCTGGCCCAGTTAATGGCTCATCAATAATCTGCATTCATCAATAAGTAATAGAACCACAGGAGCAGGGGATTACTGAAACTTTACTGTCCTAAAAACAATCCTGTTAACCTTATCTGGGGAAGATATCAACTTCTCTAGGCTCATAGGCCCTAGGGATGGCACATCATTACACAATGGAATTGTGTACTGTGGAAATCAATGGTCACAATCTTCTGATTTTTTTTGACAAAGTGTGGAAAAGTCAGGTTTTTTTGTGTGTGACACCATTAATGCTACAAAGTAAACTATGGAGGGGAGAGCCTTAATGAACCCTTTGACACCAAGTGGCCATCTCAGGTGAGTTGGCCCATGTGGCGTTGTTTGTTTGGGGTTTTTCAATATTCTTAATGACCCTATGACTAGAAAGCCTTTTATTTTCATTATCACTACCCAAAACCATGGTAAGAATCCCTTTCCTCTTTTATCTTAACGTCTCTGAAGACACCACGAGGTGATGGTCAGCGCTGCTTGCTGGTTTAAATAGAGTTCATTGTGTAATTGTTGAAATCAGAATATTCACTGTGTCTGGTCCATTTGTTTGTGGCACAGGTTTCTGGTGTTTACTTTGAATGATAAAAATGGACACGTTTTACCTATGAAAAAGAAGGTACTGGACTGAACAGCAGCTGAAATTTCTCATCCATTTCCATCAATAATATGTTATGATATCTAATAGCAAATTTATAAAATGTTAAAACTTTTACTTTCTCAACTTTTTTTAGAATAAATTTATAGTTCTAAACTGTTAACGTGATATAAGATCTATAAGAGCTAATAGACTCATACATTTCTTTTAAAGTCAAAATAATTATCAGACTCACTGAGTGATACTTACGCATGGATTTATTCATTTTTTGCTTTGCATTTTCAGTACTGTTTCTGATGTTGGATTTTACAATTACAAATACTAAAACTACATCTGTTAGATAGGGCATTGGAATGAACCAATGAAATTGAGTAAAGTGAAAGTAAAATGTACCTTGGAAAAATCAATGTTGAATTTTTTCTCTTTTACACTGCAATTCAACATTTAGTTACCTACATGTATTATTAAAGCTCGTTGCCTCACTTGTTCTGAAGAGTTCATTGAATATCAAACACCCAGTGTTACTATTCACTTTTGAAACATCAGGGGGCAGAGTCTTTTCCTTTATAACCTCCTCCCCTCTGAACAAGCTTCCTGTCATTGTCAAGGGAACACACATTGTGTAATTATTTACAGTGAGATACGAATTCCTTTAGCTTGTGACAGTTCAGCATGCTTCTTAATACTCTCACTTTCTGGACTTCATCACATTTGGATTTCCATTACAAGGTATATGAGGTACCATTTAGTGCTGTTCATCTCCCCAGAAAAATGTACATTTCGGTGGAGAAGCACATAGCTTCGCTCAAAGTAAAAATGAACTAAAGCCATGATGTGTTAAAAGTCTCTACACACAACTCAAACTCCCAAGTTGGCTTTTAAGATCACATAACTTCATTATAACTCATAGAAAAAAAGTTCTTAACTGAGTTGTGTGTAAAGCATAAATACGTACATCAACAGGCCACATTCTTCTACAGTCAAAGCCCCTTTTCATTCCATGTTTGTTCATGCCTCCATCTTGTGGACAAAAAGTATGTATTACATTTGATGCTGCCAATTTACTTCCATTTCTTTGGTTTTTCAGTTATCAGATTTTTATATGACTTTTTCAGTCACAAATATAAATGAACCTTTTTTTTTAGCATGAATAACTTTCTTTTATTAATACTCAAAACCATTTTTATAACAAAATTAATAAATAACTTGTATCCATTTTTAAAGTTATGGGTCAGAAAAGCATTTCTTTAGTTCAGGTGGTACTGTTTAACTTACAGACCATGAAAACTCCATGGACATCAAAACATAAATGATTAGCTTCTACCAGCACTCACTTAAGTAAACTTAAAAATGCCAGTTTAGCTTGTGACTTTTGTATATTTATATGTACAGCTATGAAACTTGATCATTTTGACAGAATCAGGTCTCAACTGTAAACGGTTATTGAGCTGTTCTTTCAACAAAAATAAAAGAAAAAGGGTTCCCTTGTGGAAAGTCAGACCAGTTCTGACAAAAGATCCAACTCAGGCCAGTAAAGGTCCATATTGAGGCATAGATTGTTTTCTTCACTGACCATGGCCTTAGTCGTCAGTGTGTGCTTGGGAATCCAACAGGATTAAAGGTGTTTGTTCTTGCAAGTCCAAGTAGCTCAGTACTGGACATTAAAATCTACATACGAAAGAATATCTTTATACTGTGGTCTGACTCTCTCTAAAGCATATTATATACAATGTTTTTCCAATTGTGCCTACTCAGCCCAAAGGTTTCAGCCTGGCACGGATCTACATGGTTTAGGTTGGTTTTCTATTACAATATACGGCAGAGTAAAGGAGGGGTGTCCAGCACGTGACATCATTTATACAGGACACAGGCATGAGACAACAACAGCACAGCAACTAAAAACCAACAAAATCTTGGTGTTGAACTGTAGTGTCATGTCATCAGGCATTTGGGATTTAGCCCCAAGTGGAAATACAAAAATTCTGTTTAGAGCTGTGCCGTGCCAGAGTACGCAAAAATGGAAAAGCGCCAATAGTGATGGATGGAGGACCAGATTACCCACAATTACTCAAAGTTCAATGTGCTTTTTTTCTCAGAGCAGTCTGCTACTCCCTCTCTCCAAAAAGAACCTTAAGGAGATGCTGACTCCATCATCCCTATTTACTCTATTTCTTTGTACCTACACATTTTCTCTATGTATAAGGAGAAGCACGATTTTAATTAATAAACACATCTCAATGAGAAGTTTGGTTATGTCTTAAGACATGCATAGCTGCATAGATTTCCAAGAGACTAATGCTGTTAAATGTGAAATGTTTTACTCTTGTCAGTCTGTATTTTGATCAAATGACAGGTGAGTGGCACCAAATTAGCTTTTTGTTTGGAATAGTTCCACATAATCTATTTTATTAAACCTTTTTTTTAATGTTAATATCTAAGCCGCTTTAAATTTTGCAGAACATATTTAAAAGTACACATTTTAATTTTTTGGTTGTAATCGAGGTCATACCGCAATACAATAATATAAGTGTGCTGAAAACACGTGTAGTCCACATTTAGGCCAATCAGTTGTGCTGGTTCAAGGAGGGAGGTATAAATTCGACGTGGTTGCCCTAGAGACGCCTGGCAATGAGAAAAAATTGAGTTCCAGAGCACGAATTACTCCTCAAGGTCCCTAGGTATGTAAGACGATATCGACTAACAGTATGCACGGTTCTTCTAGCGTGAATGTAAAGAAATAAGGTAGCAGGGTTCTATACAGGATAAGCTAATAGCGATAGCTAACAAGTGAGAGACATCTATTACATCAACCTGCCTCTAACAGCTAAGTTCAAAGCGTGCTCGATTATAGCGTTAGCAACTTTAGCATTGAACCAGGGCTAAAATATACCAGTTCCCTCATTCGCTTTGTTTAAAAAAGTTTCACTAAAGCCTTATCTAAGACCGTGTCATTGCTTTACTGTTTATTAAGTTGCAGAGTAAACAGCGGGAAACTTTACTAATATATGTAATCATTCTATATTGTTGATAGAGAAGACTTTTTTTTCCCAATAGCTGTCACGCAAATCTCATCTTAACATTTAGCTTTGTACCTGTCGGGCACTACATAATTTTTTCGTCATGGCCGATGGCTGCCAGGCATGACGTTAGCACAACTAAGTTTCTGTCGGTTAGAGAACAATCGATAAACGGCATTCTGCCATTCTTGCCTATTTTGAACTACAGTGAAAGAGCAGACCCATTACTTATATACTAACGTGGAAGTTGGCTAAATCTTAATTATCGTTTCAAGTTGGTCTTGATTTAGCTTGTTTTCCAGCTCCCACCTTAATTTGATGTGCACAGCCTCCCGTCTTAAGCTGTGATTGGTCTTTCATTCTGTTTGATTTTCTCAGGTGGTGGTGGGTAAAATAAAATGGGTATTCTATATTGAGTGCTCCACAACTTCCGTCCCAACAGCAGCGTCTATGTTGCTATGATTATTATATTAATCTATATGCTTTTCTTGTTTCAAAATTTTCTGCATCAACTTCAGATGGAAATAGTTTTATTTTTGCTGTATTTTCTAGTGTGATTGTTGGCTGAATACGTGACCCCATTTGGGAATAAGCTGTTCAGAAAATTGATCGATGGATAGTTGGCTGATTATTGAAACGATTGACTATTGAAATTTATATCCGAGTTCAGAACTGGCTTGATTTGTAGGTTTAACTGTCATAGATTCAAGGTAAGCTCTGACTTTATATATTATGATATGGGGACAAAAACAACATATTTGTGTATTTAGCTCTAGAAAATTCTGGCACATCTGAAAATAGATTTCTATCAGTGCACTTACTAAATGTAAAGGACTGCAGTTATATGACATTTTTGTGTGGAGCTGTTTATTATCTGCATAAGTATTGTTGGCTTTAAGATGCCATATTCTTTTGTCTCCTTAAAGTGTAAATCTGAGAGTTGAAGCAGGTAAAGAAAAAGCAATAAAAAATATTGCTCCTATAATACACTGTTGACAAAGCCAGGCTGAAATTGTTGTCATGATATTCAAAATGATAAACGGGGAAGGCCCGAAAATTCAACCTTGACGTACTCCATATGTAACTTTTGTTTGCACAGATTCAGCTAAACCCTGTCTTACAAATGTTGCTTGACATTTACAATACTCCAGCACACAAATTAATTAAAAAAAAAAAAAAAAATGGCACTACCATGGGTACAAGCCTGTTGGTATAATGTACAATGCATAACTAAATTAGAATGAATAAAGTTTCAGCAGAGAGGCACTTGCCGACGGAAGCTCAGCTGTGTCACACTTTACATTTGCCGGCCCGACAAAAGCTGAAATTATTTTTTGTAACAATTGGTTTGAAACCGGTTAACCTTTTGTTGTGAACTATAGATTTCTTTTTAATGTTCTTGCTTGTAAGCTCATGTTTGAAAACTCACACTTGGTGCATTGATGAGGTCGTGTGTCAGTAAGTCCATTTGTAAGACAGAATAGTTTGTCAGTCTGAAGAACTAGTTTATCTTGTATCAACAATTGCTGTGTAAAATGGACATACCTCATCAATGAATGCCTCCAGGTTCCCATGGGAATGAGACTGCTCTCTAACTGCTCATTGTCTTTCAGTAGCTTAGCATGAAAACTTGCTTTTTTTTTTTTTAAATATATATTTTTTTTTTCAGCTACGGTGCAACACAAGTTATTTCAACACCAAGGCATATTCAAAAGGGTTAACCTTTGGGTTGCTGGAAAAAGTGCAGGTTGGATTAGTCATGTAAGGCTATCAAATGTTAAAATGGTTATTATTATTATCAACCCTCTTTTTTTTTTTGTACCGCTTATTCTCAATGGGGTCGTGAGGGGGCTGGAGCATATCCTAGTATAAAATGGACAAGAGGCGGGGTACAATCTACACGGTTTCTCAAATATCTTGTTTTGGATATGATGTTGAAGGAATTGTAGAGGACGATTAATATGAATGTGTTAAAACAAGACAAGGGCTCAAAAGCCTGACCATAAATATGTGAGAATGAACACAACTTGGTGGGTTTTCTGTTTTTAAATGCCAGACAAGTCTGTTAGTCTTAATGGTTTTTCAATATCTTTTGAAGAATATATCACATTAAAAGTATAAAGGAAGAACAGGTGTCATTATTTTTAGTTATGAAGCTCTTTTCAAAGCACCATTTTCATTCAAAGACTAGTGTTTTGTTTTTTGTTTTGTTGTTTTTGTTTTTTTTCCTTAAAACAGGAAATTGTGTGATGAGCTCCAACTTGCAGCAACACGTTCTTCAGGCAGTTTCCAACCCCTCTGCTTTTGGATAACAGAATGTCTGATGTGAAAGTCTGCCCCACTAAGAGTGGGAATCCGTCTCCGCCAGAGGTCACAAATCCCAAGAAGCCTGGGCGTGTAACAAATCAGCTCCAGTATTTGGAGAAGGTGGTGATCAAAGCTTTATGGCGGCATCAATATTCTTGGCCTTTTCGTCAGCCAGTTGATGCAGTGGCACTATGTCTTCCAGTAAGTAATGGGAAAACTGTCCTTTTTCTCCCCCCCCCCCCCCCCCCAAAGGCTTTCTTGTTTCTGAAATGTACTGGAATTACCATGCAAACATGAGTTTTTCTTTTCTTTTTTTTATTACTTGAATCCAACCATTTTGCCATGTTACGCAAAATGTGTTCTAGAGAGCAAAGTCTTACGTCTATCTTTCAGGATTATTATACAATTATTACACACCCTATGGATCTGAGCACCATTAAGAAACGACTTCAGAATCAATATTACTGCGAAGCAATCGAATGTATCAAAGACGTCAACACTATGTTCACCAACTGCTATGTGTACAACAAGGTAAGGGAAATCAATGTATTTTTCTTGTTTTTTCTGATGCTGAAGGATTTAAAAATGTAGCTCAATTATTTGCATTTTCATTCAACAGCCTGGAGATGACATTGTTTTTATGGCACAGACCCTGGAAAAGCTTTTTTTGCTTAAACTCTCTCAAATGCCTAAGGAAGAGATGGTTACAACAATCATAACACAGGAACCAATAAAAGGGAAGAAGACAAATACAGGTGCATGGAAGATGTACTAATATACATTTTCATTACTTTATAAATCAGTTTGCGTGCTTTGGAGGTTCTTTTTTGGAAATGTTCCTGGTCGATGATATTGCTAAATGATTTAGAATGGTTTATTCCTCCTTAGTGAGGTTCTTGTAAGTTAATACAAACACTTCTACTTTACCATTCAATAAGGTGCAATAAAGCAGACATCTCTCATGTCAGAGGTTGTTCTCCAGCAAACTGAGAAAGTCACTGCTACTGAGGAACCTCAGCTTATCCCACCCATCCAACTCTCTGCACTAACTGATGCAACAGTAAGTATCAAGAAACTTGGACTGTATGCACTCTGAATAACATGTTTGAATCAAATGGAATTTAGGTTGTTACACACAGGCCCTTGTCCCAAACAAAATAATGCTCATGCTCTGGAGTGTCCAATGATTTCAGGCGTTCCTCTGAAATTTTCTAACTTTAATTAATGAGTAATGTTGTGAAAAACATGTCAGCCTGTGTTCCAGAGCATTTACAGCAACTATGCAAGTGTCCTGGTGAGTCTTTGTGCTTTAATGCAGAGTGGTTTGTTGCTCTTGACTCTCCACAGACCTTTATATGAGGGGTAGCCACAGCCCTTAAGGGCCAACAGCCCTTGAAATTTTTAAACCTACAGAGTTTAGAAATTTCCCTGCTTCAAGACACCTGATTCTGATTAAACTGATCTATTTGAAAGTAAAATGAGGTGTGTTGACACTGGAAAACTTCTAAAACCTGCAGGGCAGAATCATAGTAAAAATAAGACGGCTATCTTCACAGCACCATTTCCACATCCTGTGCTGCATCCTGAGAACTGTAAACAAAAATAGCCTACCCGATCTCCTAAAAATTTTCAGTATTGATGTATAAAATTGCTTAAAAGGAAACAATTCTCTTTGTTTTAAATCCACTTTAGGAAAAATGGCTCAGTTGGAAGATCCACTTTGAATAGAAGTGTTGGTAATTTAGCATCTTCATCCTTTTGACTAATCATTTTGCATAATTTGCAATTAAATTAGTTAACATTGTTCAACGTAACATAAAATCATCTGGAATCTCATTTATAAAACATTGCCTAGGCTATATGCTAAAAGTCTATAATGGCAACCACGGAGGAAAGGGGCAGGAGAAAAGATGCAGTTTCACTTTGGCAGAAATTTACTTGAGTGAGGTGAAGAGTTGACAAAATGTTTTGTTTGGCAGCTACAGTTGTGCCATGACGAATAAGTTTTGTGAATGACAACATATGGTTACACATAATTGGGAAAACAAGACACTGCTGCAAACGGGCGTTTAATGTTGTCCCGCAGTATAGGGAAATCTGTATTGGCTGGTCATATCAAAGCCATCCAGGATGGCTGGCATAATTGCTATTAGCAATTGCTTTGATTTTCCCTGATGTAGGGCTCATTTGATAGAATTATGTTGGTCCTAAAAGGCAGCAGTTATTAGTCGTTTATGGGCTGTGTCTGCTTATTTGTGTTGTTAAAGGCATGTTGCCAGTCATCAGCATGGGCCAGGATATTTTGGCAATGCCAAGTATTCCCTCCTAATTCTCCCATTTGTAAGGTCTTCAGCAGTGCCATTGCATCCATCACACAGCATTACGCACAAGTGTCACCAATGTTTAAATGTTTACAGCATTCACTCCGATTGCCTCATACTTTGTCACAATTTGTATGAAACTGTGGTCCACATCACCCTGCTGATTGGAGAGGAATGTGAGAATGCTGTATATTGTGCAGACTTAGATTTGTCTATTAGCTTTTTAAAATTTGCTTTCAAAGATCCTTTTATGTATAATTGTGGCTCACGAGAGGAACCATAAATAACATTGCTGTTTGGAATGCTTATGATGGTCCATGTTTAAAGTTTGATATGGACTGAAATCCAATAACAGAGCATTAAGGATGCATGGCTTCAATTCCCCACATCATCATCTGCATCCAAAATGAGGATACACACGTGTCAATTTGCGTGGCCACACATTTTCCTGTCAAGGTTTTCTTTATAGATCACAAACTTTGTGTAAAAAGAGGCGTACGCAACTTTAAAGCCTCATTTTGCATGCACACAACTTGATAAATGTGCCCAGGAATTTATAGACCCTGTTGGAAATTATTTGTATTACTCCTGTTTTATCATTGTTCATAAATTTTATCAATGTTTTGGAGAGACATTTGGGGTGACTTAAAGTAGCCAGGTATTTCAGTTTCATTTAACAAAAATTATTGGTCATTGAATTTGTTGGAAGTTTCAGATTTTCCTTTCCAGTTAGTATAAGTTGCACTCTGAGACTTAAATTAGTAGTTCAAAATTAGTCCCTAGACCAAATCGTAAGCATTTTCATAACTTATCGTTTTGCTGTTTCTTTTTTGTATGTTTAAAAAAATAAAATAAAATAATAATCTTAAATGGTTAGAACAAATCTCACCATTGTTTTTATTTTTCTAACCAGATTAAAAAGGGATTGAAGAGAAAAGCAGACCCTGTTATTCCTGCCACCTCTATCTTCAGTAACGGTGAGGTGTCTGTGATAGAGGAACATCCAACACCTTGCACACTTCTCTCCAGGAGAGGCAGTGGTAGGGCCATCAAGCCTCCTAAGAAAGACTTGCTTTTGTCAGAGGACAAGAGTGGCAGACTTCCAGAGGAGCTCAGGTACTGTGAGAGTATCCTAAAGGAGATGCTCTCTAAGAGGCACTATGCATGCGCTTGGCCCTTTTATACACCAGTTGATGCAGTTGCTTTGGGCTTGCACGACTACCATGACATCATCAAGAAGCCTATGGACCTAGGCACCATCAGGGTAAAATTAAGTTATGATATTTAATTACGGCATAAAAATATCAGTTTGATGTCAATTTACTTTTTTCTTTTTTTTACACAAGTTGTTGTTTCCTCAGAAAAAAATGGATCAGCGAGGGTATGCAACTGGCAAGGAATTTGCTGCTGATGTCCGACTGATGTTCTCCAACTGCTACAGATACAATCCACCATCACATGAAGTGGTGTATATGGCAAGAAAGCTGCAGGTATTTTATTATTTTGTCCTCCTAAAATGTTTCCAGATCAGTATATTTCTTAACTGCCAACAACCACTGAGTTGAACACAAGGGAAAAATCTGATCTGGTCTTGGGACTAGGGGAAAAATAATACAAATTTATTAATTTTTTTTTAAGATGGTCTAGAATGCAGCTGCGCGTTGAGTCTTCAAAAAATTTTAAATAAAATCCCTCGTCACTCCTTGGTTGTTTCAGCTCCACTGGCTACCCTTTGCCGCCCGCATCATATTAGAGTTACTGATGTTTGCCTCTAAAGTATTTAAGCGTACAGCTCCCATCTACTTGAATACTGTGGCAAAGGCTTAAGTCACAACTTAGGCACTCCTGTCCTAGATTGTTGTCAATCCAGTCTTTTCATGTATCCTTCCATGAACTGGGGTGTCCCCATTTATCTGAAAGAAACTCTTGAAGACCCAGCTCTCCAGAGAGCATCTCCTACCCTAACACTTATCTATACCTCCCACCCAATCTACTGCCCTTTCTCTTTCTTTACACTTTATCTCTACACTGAGTGTGCTGGTTCCAATTGACAGTGGCGAAATGAAGTGAGAATTATCAGAAAATAAATGATAAAACCCTCACTGTGTCCACAATTGGTAACTCACTGAAAAATTAATGTCCAAGTTCAAACTAAAGCTCAACTCGGCTGACTGTAAAACTACTTTCAGGACTGAACAATCACTTTCCACAAGTTACAAATGGAAGACTAAATTAAAATTATGATCCAATTATGCCTTGGTTCTCAAGTACTTCTTCCTGCAGTTAAAAAAACATGCATCTCTGGTTAATTGGCCTTTGGACTGAAAATTAGTGTGCATTGTTTTTCTCATTAATCTGTGTGGCAGTGTTGGAATTTTGACCTGATGAGGGTGTATGTTGCCTCTTTCCAAAAAAGTGACAAAGGCAACAAAATTTACCATAGAAAACAATCATGTCAACAATTCTTTTGCATAATGATTGACAGTCCAAGTGAAATGTTTTGGTTTCATTTAGTTGTGAGGAAAAGTTACTTTGAGTAGGTCTTTCCAATGATTGTGTATGGCAGGGATTACTTTCACTTTTAAACATTTCAGTGGTATCCATTTTGACTGCAAAATGTTTGTGGTGGTAACAGGAAGTTTTTGAGGAGCGTTATGAGAAGGTTCCACATGAACCGGAGGTATGCTCCATGTCTCATCAGCAAGATGACAAGAAAACAAAAGGAAACGGGGTTGGAAGTCTTTCAACTTCAGCAAGTTCTGAGAGTGACAGCTCTTCAGACTCTGAATATTCATCAGAAGCCGTTGCCATGCAGCTTTCTCATCTAGAGAAACGGGTTGGTATTGTATGCAATGGTAAAAATGCAAGCCATTTTTCTGGTTATCTTATTTGATACTTTTTCTTTTTTTTTCACATGTCTATTGGTTAACTGGTTTCACAGTTGAAAGCTGTCAGTGATCAGCTGACTAAACTTGCTCAGGACCCTCTAATGAAGTCAAAGAAGAAAGGGAAGTTGAAAAAAGAAAAGCGATCAAAAGAAAAGGATATCGCTCGACTCAAGAGCATATCTGCAAAGTACAAGTCCATTGTAGAAAAGCTTGCAAATGGCAAGGCCTCTGCTTTGTAAGTGCGCCCAATATAACAACCTATAACGTACATTATGCATGAAAGTGTTAAACTATATAGCATACGTACTGTGCTTAGCTTGATTTTAGATGTTTGTTGTGTATGTTAAGGCCTGAGAACAAAATTCAGAAACTCAACATGCCCTCCAAATGTGAAAATGAGCTTTCATCAACACCAATGACTTATGAAGAAAAGAAGCAGTTAAAACTGGATGTCAACAAGCTGCCTGGTGAGAAACTGGGCAAGCTGGTGAGCATAATTCACAACAGAGAGTCATGTCTGCGAAATGCCGCTCCCAATGAGATAGAAGTGGACTTTGAAATGCTCAAAACATCCACCCTTAGAGCTCTGCAGAGGTTTGTTGAAACCTGTTTGAGGAAAGGCAGCAACAGTGGAAATGGTAAGTACTTAAGAACTTGCTACACTGAAGGCTTTGTGGCTTCATGGAACTTTTGTCATTATCTATTGTGTTCCCTTAGTAAAAAAACTGAAGCCCAAACGTGGAGTGCAGTTTAAGAAACTAAATGATGATGGAAAGCCTTTAGTTTTCAGTAAAGAGAAAATGTCACCAGGTAAGAGCTGGATTCGATTCAGTATTTTTAAGTGGTGCTCTGACATGGAGTCTGGTTTCTATTTCTTTTTATATATCTTTAACTAATTTGTTTTTTAATTGCATTACTATCTTTCTGAAGCGATGACGCATCCTGACCATAGTGACCAGTTGTGTGTCAAAGAGAACAGCAGCACAACCTCTGGCTCTGGCAGCAGTACTAGTAGTACACATTCTAGTACTTCTGACAGCAGTGATTCTGAATCAGGTTAGCTGCTCATCTTCACTATTTGTTTACCCTTTACTACTGCAGTACATTTATGCTAAATAGAAAACCGTTGATTCTTGGTTGCATACACAATAATTGTTTTTTTATGAAATGATTAATTGTTTACTGTGTTTTCGCAAATTTGTTTTTGGTAACCGGTTTTCTTCCGAATGAAGCTAGAGTATTAACATACATTTTATAGGGGGTTACTGACATGTGCCCTGTGCATTTCTGAATCATTCAGCATCACTTAACACGGCTGTCTTCAGTGTGATTTATCAGTGTACATGTTTTTCAGTGCCTCGCAGATTGAAGTGGAAATCCAAAGATTCTTGCCAAAATGTTAACAAGAAGGTAAAATTGTTTACGATTTTCTTTGAGTAATCACTAAATGCCTGCAAGTTATATTACTTAAATCTTCTCGCACCAAATTAAAGGAGACACACAATGCCTGTAGTGAGGAGAAGCCAGAGTGTAAAGATGTGATGAAGGCCTCAGTCTGGATTGGTCAGCCTCCTGGGCAATCCAAGGTGGCTCAAAGTGAATACCAGCAAACGCACTGTGATGCAGACGACACAACAGATGAGGAGATTATATTCCCTCCAGGTAATCCTTATCTAATTTTTGAGCCCTTTCCATTTTTTTTAAATGTATTTTAAATAATGGTGGATCCACATCACTAATATCACAATAGCAAATGGTGATCTTCCTTTTTTCCAACAGTCAATGGTATACAGTGTAACTCCCACTGCTGCTGGTTTGTAATATATTGTTCTGCTTCTTTTCTTTCAGCTGTTTTTATTTTTCATCCTTTAAAACAGTTTTAGCACATTAGCTCCTTCATATGTTAACAAATTTTCACAAATGTGACATGTTTATTTTGTTTTTGAATATTTTTTTTATTTTTATGTACCGTTTCACAGATTTGTCTGCACTTTTATCCCCCATGGTTTCACCAGGGCTTTTGTCAGATTGGGCAACAGCAAGATTTGAGGTAACAAAATGTAAACATTTCAGTCTTTTTTTTTTTTTAAACAAACAAATTAGACTACAATTTTAAAATCAAGTAATCACACAAAACAGGATCTCATAAGCTTTTGCTTATGACAGATTTTGTCATAGGCATGAACTGCTTCACTTACAACTATTGAAGATCAGCTTTTTGGTTTAAATGACTGCAGGCAAGATATTGGAACTCCTGACATCTTGACAAACTCCTCTTTTCAAATGAGTCATTATTAGATCTACAATTTCAGTTATCATATGTTCATTTAAAAAAATATTCAGAGGTTTATGGATGTTTTTTTTTTTTTTGTTTTAGTGTGCGTGTGTTCGGGAAATGGCTTATGTCAAATGATCGTATGAGTTTGTCTTGCTCCAACTGATTTCCTAGCTTCCTTGAGGTGTCGTGGGCCAAACTAGACGAAACACTGATGAAAGGAAGTTTCCATCTGGTGACCTCAATGATATTTTAGTCAGACCACATGAACACCCATCTTTTTTTTTTTTTTTTGGTTAAAAAAAGAAAAGCCGTCTCAAAAATATATGGAACAAAAGTATCTAATTTACCAGCTCTAAAATCAGATATAGGATTAATCTTGGTGTCATAATCCCTAGAATTGTGAAAGAGGAGAAAATAACTTGCTCCTTTATAGGGTTGTAATTTCATGATGTCATTGGGGCAAACCAGGCAATGGGAGGGCTTGATATTGTTGAACAGCTGCATCAGCAGAGTGACCTCTAAATCTCTCTACTTCAAGATTACAGGCTCGAAGCTTGCCAAGTTTCTCACAGGCTTTAGGTAGCTAATATCTACGATTGATTTACTGAGATCTGATCAAATTTTGTTTTGGCCTAGTTGAAAAGATGGAATACTTGACATGCTATGCTATAAGACGATACTTGTACATGAATGGGTTCTAAGCAAATTTACCCTCTACATCTCATATAAAAGCCCTTTTCTAATTTAAAGATTTTTGTAAAGGTTTTTTTTTATTAATTTAAAAAATGAAATGACCATTATAAATGACCTATCTGCCATACGTTGGAAAACCTTTATGATGATTTACATGCACATTTTATATTTAAATTTTTTTTTAAGTATCAGGATAATTTCATTTATTTATTTTTTCCTTGTAGCAGGGTCCGATGCTCTCCCCTCTTGAAGACAGCCCAATGGAATCGAAAGATGAAATGACTTGCAGTAAGTGACATGGATAGTTTGTATTATATCATTGTAATTATATTATGTCTCTCCTTTTTTATTGTTTTTTTTTATTTTGCAAGATTTCAGATATGCTGAGGACTTTCCAGATGAGGTGACCAAGGTGCCTCAAACGAACACTGAGAACAAATTTGCAGAGGAAGAAAAAAACAAAGTTCATAAAAAGGTTGGACAGAAGACACAATTAACTTGGCTTTAAAGTGTATCCTTATCTGTGCCAACAAATACCCTTATGGATTGCAGTTAAATGCTGCAGTTTGTCTTTCTTAGGACATATTTTTGAAAAATGCCGAGTCTTGGGCAAGGCTGGTGAGACAGTCAATAACCCCAGCAGCAATCAAGTCCTCCAAAGAGAGCTTCCAGCAGTTCCGTAAGGCTGCTATAGAAAAGGTAGAGCGTGAAAAAGCACTGAAGAAGAAACCAATAGATGAAAACAAGGAGACTCCAGATAGGTATTCACAACTATGTGAAATTAAAAATGTGCCACTCTCTCGGCCATGTGAAGTGGAACAAACTCCACAGCCTGTTAAAGATTGTTCTGATCTGCTCACAAGCATTTTCTCAGAGGCTGCCCCACATGCTTCCAGTCATGTGTCACAAAAACAATCTCCTGATGAATCGCAGCCTCCAAACCAGTCTTCTGTGGACAGGGAAAGAGAGTTGGCCCGCAAAAAAGAGCAGGAACGCCGCAGGCGGGAGGCCGTGAGTCCAACATTGTGTTTTAGGAACAATTCTAATGATTTGTTGTTCATGTGAATAGCTCTTTAAAAACCACTTTGTGCTTCCTTCTCTTTGCTTTAGATGTGTGGTATTGACATGACTATGCAGCGGGACATCATGACTACGTTTGAGCTTAACCTGGACTAAAAGTCAGATGAGGTGCACCAGAGAAATGGCTTCCGTTTGTCTTGCTTTAATAACATGATGTTTCTGTCCAAAGATAATCTGTGTGTTATATTTAAAACTATGGCTGGGGGGGGGGGGGGGGGGAGGATATAAATGGATATAGGCAAACCTTTAATTGAAATTTGATCCATGTCTGCACTTAATGCACTGTTGAATTTGTTATTATTGGTTTAAAGCACTGGCATATTTGAAACTTTTCTCTGTTGGGTTTTTTGCACTTTTTATATATTACAGTGACTCCATCTTCAATAGATGGCTCCAAATGACATCCACTAAGTCTTACATCCACTGTTAACAATGTTACATAGGGCTGGTTTGTTTGTTTTTTGACAAAAAATGCAGTGTCACTTGTTTCGTGTATTCTGGTTGGCTCTTGTTAATTCCATTGACTATGTTTGAGTTAATCCTGGCTCAGAAATGCATGGTGTGACATCTCTCAATTGTGCATCTTGTCGTTTTTTTTAATTTATTTTTATTTTTTTAAAGCATTCCTTGTAAGGATAACTTTACTTAAAGCTTAAATATGGGCAGGTTTTCAGTTTTCCACATGGACCTGACAGTTTTGTCTCATATTTTGTTTGGTTACTTTAAAATATCAACGATTTAAGTTGATATGCACAGGACTTTATTTCATTAGTTATTGCTGTTCAGGAGTTGATTTCAGAATTATTAGCATATTCATTATGCTACATTCGAAAACATTTTTTTTTTTTTTTTTTTTTTTCGTAATACTCAAAATAATAAAAGCTATTTTCTCTAAATTATCAGCATCATTTGGTTAGATCAAACTGTTTCTCATTAATCCATCTCAGAGCTTTAATCACCAGTCTGCTGTTGGTTTTATTCATTTTCAAATCTTTCCAATTATATTTTTTAGGCTGTAAAGTTTAATGCTTAATGTATGATTTAGATGGGGAAAAAAATACTGGTGTGCTCAAACCTTTTGGTTTTGCTGCAAATTCAGTCCAGCTCTACTGCAGCCCAGTGAATGGTCAACATGTCATGTTTTCAATATGGATTTTTTTTTTTTTTAAAGCAGCTTTGGATTTCAATAGACAATAACAAGCCGTACACGGTAGTGATTTAGGGTTTCTCAGACTTTGTTGAAAAAGAATAAGAAAAACAATTAGAGCAAATATTCAGTCTGAACATAAAGGCAAGTGTGTCACTTAGAAATTGTTAAATCTACATCTTACTTTGGCAAAAAAAAAAAAAGCATGTTTGCAGTGGTCGTAAACCATGTAGTCTCACAATATAGTCTCTCAAAATTTTGTGTAGTGCACAATATTTGATCACTATCTGATTTGACGTTATGTGCAAAACAAACACACCAAAACTCTTTTGGAGGTTGTTTTTAGGGCTCCAAAAGACATTTTGCCACTAATTTTATGTCCATTTCTTGTCGTGTAGCATACCTCAGTACATTCTCTCAGTTACTCCTCAATGTAGAAAATTTCGAATAAGGCTTTGTGTCAAATCTTGGTAGGACCCCCCCCCCCCCCAAAATTTTCTCTTTCAAATTATTTAAAATTCCTTATTAACTCTTTCCCCTCCACTTCCATGTTTTAGAGGACACGCTACACACCAAGCTGCAAATGTATCTTTGGGAATCACCTTGTTATTTCAAAATACTTTTGAAAGTCTTCCCATCCATTTTGTTTTTCTCAGATATTAAATAATGTGCAGGTAGTATTTTCTCAGAAAGTATATGCCTTTGTGACAGTCTACCAGTTAAAAAAAAATCTTCTAAAAGGGCCCATTTCAAATGGTTTCTTTGCTAGGCTTCCTGTTATGTGATTAATACAGTGCTGGTTCAACAGAGTTAATTGTATTTAAAGTGCCTTTCTTTTATGCTTGAGCGATTTACAGGTCTATGTTAAGTAAGTAAGAACAATTTAAATGATCAAGTTCAGTGACAGGAAATTAAATCAGAAAAATATTAACTACACATTGGCTAAAGAAATTAGGGATAGCTAAAAAAATTTGCACAGCATAATCTTACTATTAAAACGGATGAGAATAATCCAGTCTAAGCATTACCCCACTTAACATATCAATACCCATGCATACCTGACTCATCCACTCATTACCGGGGAGGTAATAATAAATCGGGATTATTTTAAAAAAAGCAGGCTGTATGATAGGTATATACATAATGGAATAATGTATAATGATTAATGCCTGCCTTGTTTTCATTGCGGTCCTGTCGCCATAACTGAGCGCTGCCCTGTGGTGCTCTGCTTAACAACGCCTCGTAGCTAGTCTCAAAGCCCCACGGATCTTTGCATCTAACAAGTTACCGGTCGGTCTCAAGCTTTGCTTTGTACCGTTAGCGACACCGTTGCCAGCCAAACGACGCGCGAGCGCACACGCGCACAGCGTGAGATCTGACGTGATGCTCTTGCCATCGTCCCATTCAGCCGGTTAGTGGGATCCTCCCTTCAGACGGTCGTGCGTCTGCGCTGCTAACGTAGAAAAAAAAAAAGGCATTTTGTCGGAGCGGTGTTTCAATTAACAGAAACAATAAAGAATAGGTAACGTGACCCGGATCGGTTTCCTGCGGCAATGAAAAGATGGCGAGAGTGCTTCACAACTTGCTATTATTGCTAGTCAGACTTGCGCTGAAAATCAGACTTTTGGGTTATTGGTCATTGATATACGGGTATTGTGCTCTCTGCGCCATCGTAGCCTTGCTGAAACTTTGGTGGAACATCGTCTTAAGGCCGACAGCCACCTTCCAATGGATGATTCGTGAAATTCCCCCTGCTTGCCTGAGTGACACGTCCTTGGGAACCCACTGTTACGTTAGGATCAAGGTAAGAATCCCCCTCGCTCTCGGACGGCGAGTTTTCTCGCGTCCGTGCAGAAAAAAAAAGCCCATTGTGTGTTTGAATAACTCGCACGCGGAGGGTCGTTCGTGTGTAAATACGGCTTCGCACCTTCCTCCGTGACTCGTCGTGACATGCCAAACGGGGCCTAATATTTGAGCTGAAAATGAGGCGTCGGACTGATTTGATGAATCGGTTTCGCAGAGCCCCGTTGGTGCTGATGGAACAGCTCCCCAGCATCCAAGCACCAACCTACCCAGTCCGTGGTAACCATTATGTAATTGAATATGATGCCACAAAAGCCCCACTTAACAAAAACACCCTGAGTGGTTAAGAAGTATTCCCACCACCTACTTTACTGCAAGCTTTACCTCCATTATAATGTATTAGAAATAACCAGGTAGCTGGATGCATACCGATATCATTGTATATACTTTATCATTGTAATGACATTATTAAATCAATTACGAATACTGTATCTCTTATATAATGTTATAACACTTATCCCTCGTGGAAATTATATTGCTGTAAAAAAAAAAAAAAAAAAAAGTATAGCAATCATCAATTACAAGAATGTAATGTCTTGTTTTTGGGGGGTGATGGCTGCTGGCAGGAATGATCTTTGGTGCCTTTCTGTCTTGCACTGGGATGGACAAAGCTTCACACTGAACACACTCTTTTGTCACTTTACTGGGTTGTGTAGAGGATGTGATGAATCATCCATTATCTTCAGCATTCTTTTCTGGATAATCGGCTCCAGAGGTAACTCCAGCATAGATGGAGCCAGCCTTCTCCATTTGGTTTGTTTGATTTCTTTAAGTCTGTGGCTCCGATGCTGCTGTCCCAGCAGATGGCCGCAAAGCTGATTGCACTTTCAATAACGGACTTATTGAATATATGTAACATTTTGATTCAGATATTGAAAGATCTCAGCTTCCTTAAGAAGTAGAATCTGCTTTGTCCCTTCTTATAGATGGCTTCTATGTCACTTTTCCAGTCTATTCTGTTGTGAAGCTGAAGTCAAAAGTACATGTAATTCCCCACCACCTCCACCTCTTCTTCCATGATGTTAATGACGCTTTGTTTACTTATGTTCCTCCTGAAGTCAACAAGCATCTCTTGTTTTTCAGGTTTTCATAAACTTTTCAATGAAGCAAGAGATAACCCCTTCAGCTTGCAGTGTGATACCTTTGGTTAAAGACATTAATCAGTTCATATTGTTAACTATTTACACAAATAAAGTTATGAATAAATGCATTGTCAATGGATAGTAAAAGTAATCTCAAGCTGTAAAAAACTGTTTAAATGTTCTGGGTTTAAAATCTAATCAGAGTGATCATCCTTGTTATGTTGTATGTGTATGCAAGCGAGTGAGCGCTCTTACAAAAAAATCTTTGATATGTTTTCTTTAGCAATGTTGTTTAGTGTTTTGGCAAAAAAAACAAAAAAACAATTCATGTACAAGCTAAATGTTCCCCACGCGCTTGCACCATGGGAAACTGTGCTTTTAGATGTGTACAAGTAATGTATTTTCCCTTTTTGTTTATTTCAGTTACAATCAAATAAATTATAACTACAAAAAGATCTTCAGTAACATCAAGAAAGGCAAGCCTTGTATGAAGAACTTTTGTTGTTTTTTGTTCGCTGGCTGTCCAGCTTCACATAGCTACGTGTTGAGTGCAAATTAGGCTTTCTGCTATCTTTTCTGTTGTGCCATTAAATGAAAATCATGTTCTTGTATGCATTTCACATTTTTAAAACAAACTATTTTAAGAAGCAAGAGGTGCTCTTTATGTTTGCTTGATGATATTCTGTGTTGTGATAATCTAATTCCAATTTGTCTAGTGACCCAAAGGAAAATAAGCTTATTTCCGATACCACATTCCTTATGCCGCTACACTCAGTAGAAGTGCCGACTTCTTTTGTTGTGGTTTATGAAAAGACACGTTGACTTCAGTCTTTTGTGCTTTAATGTGTTTGTATGTCTTCTCTCACCCAGGAGTCTGGCCTAAGGTTTCACTATGTTGCTGCTGGAGAGCGAGGAAAGCCACTCATGCTGTTTTTGCACGGTTTCCCCGAGTTCTGGTAGGCCAAAGGGACATTCCGATTGTGATAAATGCAAGAGCTCATTGGTGAACTGCTGCAAGCTAGGCTGTAAGATTCAGTTAAGTGCAGTTGCACTGTATTTTCCAAATGAATAACCTGGAGTGTACTGTTGAATCTCTTTGGTCTGGCTCTGTGACAGTAAACACAAATCCACACCAACAGACATGATTTGCTGTTGGAGGGAAAGTAGATAACAATTATCCAAGATCTCCTCTCTATATGAAATTTAAAAATATGTTGAACCCGAGATCTGTAAGCCAATTTAATATATTTCTTACTGTTGAAGCTGGGGGCAGGACAGAAATTAATTAACTGTTGATGGGACAGGTTTCTGCTTCACTTGCTGTATCATAGTAGCGAGTAATTGTGATAAATGTGAGGTGGCCAGAAAGACCTCCCCCCCCTTTTTTTTTTTTTTTAAATCTCTCGTAGAAAAGAAAAGAGACAGTGAATATGGGTCAGAATGACAATGTTGAGTTGTCCAACTGGCTTGCCTTGCTTTAATCTACATCTACAGTATATTCCATGATCAATGTAGTAGTCTTATCCTGGCCAATTAGAATCACAGGCAGAACTCTACATCTCACTTTCAATCACTCAACTGGGAAGAAGAAGAGGGGATGGAGGCTTAGAAGGAAGAAAAGGGGGAAGGGTGCGTTTCAGGCATGATGAGGTTGCATCTTCATCACTGTAGGCTAGATCTTTGATTAGGAAGCCAACTTGATAAATGGATGGGTTGGAATACAAAATACCCTCTTTTTCAGATAGAGGTGACCTCCACTCAATTGATAAGAAAGCTGAATTCTAGCTTAAAAAAAACTCAGCATAGTGAGTTTGTAACTACCTCAGATTCACTGTGACCTCAAACTATTGATAACTTATGAAGCGACATTTCTCCATTTTTTAAAGTGGCAACTTAAGTTGCCATTTTGACTTGGAGACTACAAAGATTTGATAGTTTGCTTTTGATTCTCTTATCTTTGCTCAAATAAGATCATAATGTGAGAAAGAAATTGAGCTAAATCAAGCCATTCAAGTTTAGTAGCATTTTGTAGGATGCAAATAATATTCCTACAGGTTTTCCATTGCTTTGTGATGGACTGGTGACCTGTTCATGGTGTACTCCGCTACTCGAACAATAAAAGTTGGGACAGGCTCCAGCCCCTCCACGACCCTACCAGGAATAGGCAGTATAGAAAATGGATGGATGGGTTTGCACTGGAATTTTTTATTCATACTGCTGCTTCACAACTTGTACTTTACTTTCCAGATGTGCTAGACGCTGTAGAATTCAGTGTAGAGCACAAACCAGGTGGTACAAAGAAGACACAACTTAGGGTGAAGGGTTTGAAAATGATCCCTGTTTTGTGGGTTTTTGAAGGATTCTCTGTCCATGTAAACCTAACGATAAGTCAGTCTTATGTGGGTTAAGGTATACGGTTGGAATAGTTCTGTACATGTACAAATAACCACTGCTTTTTGAGCTTGAGTTTAAGGTATTCAAGATGTTTTAACCTTTATAACACCTTTTTTCAGATTTCTGTCTCTCTATTTTTTTTTTCTGCTTGAGAACATAAACGTTGTGGTGTTGCTTTATTTATTTGTCTTGGCTTATTTATTGGCTGTTAGGAGGCCCTCTACATTTAACCCTATAATGCCAAATGTATCATATTTGATTCATACGGTTTCTGAAGTGTTTTGCGTCTGACACCTTTTGCATAATTTACTGGTAAAAACTTCGCTCAAAATCCTATCGTACACAATAAGATACACCTGATAACAGGGGGCAGAAGACTACACAAAAAATATTCTTGAATTATCGCATAGTAAGAAATTATTAATATAAAAAATGTATTTCTGTGTTTTCTTTTTACATATTTTGTTAAAATACCAAATAAGGAATTCAAACCAAAAAAGTAATTTTCTGTTTTGTTTTCTTCTTGGATCAGGCTTTAAAGGGTTTTAAACACATGTTGAAATCATGAGAAAGGAATTCATACCTTTCTTTGTTTATGTTAAATCTGTGTGCTTCAGGTTCTCCTGGCGCTACCAGCTTCGTGAATTTAAGAGTGAATTCCGTGTGGTGGCCATCGACATGCGTGGCTATGGGGAATCCGACCTGCCGCTCTCCACTGAGAGTTACCGCTTTGATTACCTGGTCACTGATGTTAAAGATATTGTCGAGTACCTTGGTAAGGGAATGTGAAAAATATGAATATCTGCACTCATGAGAACACTCCATAGACTTGACAGAGTTATGTCAATGTCTCAAGTCAAAAATAGATTTGTTTATCAAAGTTAAGCTGTGAACAGCCATCAGATCTGCAGTGCAGCATGACAAACTTCCTGTAACTTGTTCTTACCCAGCAGGCTGCTGACTGCATGGTAAACTAGCAGGGTGCAGGCCTTAGGCGGTCTTTCCATAGCAACATCAGTGAATGATTATTTGTTCCTCTTTTTCTCATTTTTTTTAAGAATGATTCTTTATTTTAGCTCCACTGATGAATTCTCTATGTACTGAAATGTCAGTGAAGATTGTCTAATGATAGAGATTCAAATTTTTACCCTTCAAACAAATGTGTGAAAAGTATCCGTTTTAACCAACAGTATTTTCACCATGGAGCTTTTTAAACATATTGGATGTTGAAAATGACAATTTACTTAAAAATGTATGCACACAGTGCTTAACCACTAAGTTGCTTTTTACTGTTCTTTTAACATCAGTATGTAACCATCTGTAAAGTGATCACACAGGTTTCTGCACCTTTGAGAAAGTTGTAATAGATGTACTATGCAATTTATTATTGGGTTTAGTATTGTGTTTCTTAAATATGCAAGGCCTTCGATGAAAAAGATAAAGTTGGATGGGGAAACATGTTGCTCTAAAACAAAACCTTTAGGGTTGCCCTTTCCACTTGCTGGTTCAAAAATCTTTATTGCACCTTTATTCCATCTAAGATGTGAACTTTGAATCTAATCACATTAACTAGCCTGATAGTCTGAACAGGTGAACTGCACTTGGTTGTGTTGGATCTGTTAATGATATTTTAGTTATCTATTTTGTGTAATGAACAGAGGTTAAAAGTGGGCAAATATCTGTTTTATGGGTGTCAAACTAACTGTTTAATTTTTGTTTATGTAATTTGCAAATTTGTGCTTAATTTTTTTTAACAAGGTAAACAACATCGTGACTTTTTTTGGGGCTGTTGAAATATAACCCTTTAAGGCAAAGATTACATTTGCCATATGAAATGGCTAATTTGTTTAATAAACTAAATATTTTTTAGAAAGTTTTATTTCCTATATCAGTTTTTTTTTTATCGTAATAAAATGATATCATTAATTGCACTGGCACAAATATCTGTTCAGCATTTACCTGTCATGTCAACTTGTTTGGGTGAGAAATGTCAGCAAGAAAGTTTATCAAACATATTACTAGTCCATTCAGTGAAAACTAAAACTTAATCTTTTTGTCTACAGAAAAAATCTTTAACTGTCAAACTCACCCTTGTCTTTAAGTTAATGTGTATGTAGTGTACAGTGACTTTAATCAAAACTTCTACATTTCTCATATAAATGTGGGGGCTAACCGTAATTCTAGTCTCTTATGAATGTACAGTATCAGAGTCTTTCAATTCAGTTAAATTCAATTTTATTTATATAGCGGCAAACCACAACAACAGTTATTTCACAGCGCTTTTCAAAACAGAGCAGGGCAGACCTTACTCCGAGTTTTTTACAGAAGCCCAACAATTTCCACCAAGAGCAAGCACTAGGCGAAACGGGCAAGGAAAAACTTCCATTTAAGAGGCAGAAACCTCGAGCAGAACCATTGTTTAGGGTGGGCGGCCATCTGCCTCGGCCCGCTGGGGGTGAGAGAGAGAGAGGGCAAGAGAGAGTGAAGGACAGAGGGGGAGGAGGGAGGCAGCCTACACAGTAACACATAGACTGGGTGAAAAAAGGCAAAGATATTCATCGTAATGATAACAATAGCAGTAATGATAGGAATAAAACTATGAACAGTGGTTGTAATTGTGGCAGAGTAGGAACACAGGGACAGCAGGAGACTCCCAATCACAGATCCAGCTTCCACAGCTCCAGAGCCAAGCCCACCTGCAGGAAGGACAGAGGAGAGGGACAAGAAAGCACACAACTACGGGACAGAGAAAGACTCTTCTGTGACAATATCTACTTAATTATAATTTGTTTTCCTTAACAGGGTACAACAGATGTTGCCTTGTTGGCCATGACTTGGGAGGGACCATAGCATGGCTGTTTGCTATCCACTACCCTGAGATGGTAACAAAACTCATTGTCCTGAATTGTCCCCATCCTTCTGTGTTCACAGGTATGATTTCACCATGTTCAAACAAACAGATCCTCCAACAGTTCCCTTTAGGATAATAAAAAAATTATGTTTCAAACTAATTAGAGAGACCATGCTTTGACTCTTGTATTAGTACCATAATAATTATAAATAATTAGTCAATATTTCAATTCAGTTGTGTACTTGTACCATGCTGACAAATCCTCATAAGTCTTAGGATCAAGATGACTAGAAACTACTGACAGGAATAAAGCTGAAGCAGCTGGTTTAATTGGTGCAAACAAAGTTACCAAGAGTGAAAGCATTAAAGACCTCGCTATGTGTACAAAACTGCCATTAATTATTTAAAAAGACAACAACAATGAAACCATCTCTCCCCCAGATTATGCCCTACGTCACCCCAGCCAGCTGCTGAAGTCCAGCCATTTCTTTTTCTTCCAGTTGCCCCACTTCCCGGAGCTCATGCTTTCCATCAATGATTTCAAGGTGGTCTCGTAATGTGCAGCCTTAAGTGGCTTCTTCAAGGTTAAGGTGGCATGTGCATGCCTCAGTGTGTGAAATACCATGTGCGTCTGTCGCTACTTTGAGTATGTGCTCGTGAAAGTGAACATAATTATCAATTATTCCCACAGAAAGGTAATAAATGCATTTCATTATGTCAGATCAGATTAACATATGGACATATTGGCTTATACTTCACGTTTGCAATTTACTAAGTGAGATTGTCATTGTATTCAGATAGATTTAACAGTAAAACTGTCACCATATGCTTGAGCAGATTTGTAGATTTCAGAATAGGGAGCACAGCATGTAAAGCTGTTCAGGCAGCAGTAAACTGGGGTGCCAGAATGGCAACTGAAGGTCATCAGAGCAGATTTCGCTGCCTTGTCTGGATTGTGTTACAGCAACATGGATATATTTCTGTTAAATGGTTTCAAATGCACAAACTAACGCAGCATTTGTTGCTGTGTCTGCTACAGTCCCTGAAGGCTTTGTTCACCAGCCGCAGCACAGGGATTGGAAGGAAAGGTCGGTGGCTCACAACAGAGGACCTGGAAGCCTATTTGTATGCACTGTCACAGCCAGGAGCTCTAACAGGAGCACTCAACTATTACAGAAATGTTTTCAGGTGAGATATTCTCTCTCTCTTATCAGATAAAGGGAATTAGATTGTATATACACATGCATATACATTTATATGCCCACACAGACACACATACCCACACACACATATGTGTATATATATGTAATATAAACATGATTGAGTTAACAAAATAATGAATTATTCTATTTCAGATGATAACACCAACAAAAGCTTATCAGTAAATAATAATTACAAAGAAAATTATTACCAAATAACACATACATATAAATCAGTACTAAAACCACATCACTTATCAATATATATACATTTTAACATAAATATAAAGTAATTATATAGACAAAATATCCAATTGTATAAACATGCAAGTATATAAACCCTCAGATGTAGCCTTAATCAGCGGTAAGTCTAAAAAGGGGTATGAAGAAGTAAAACGTATTCATTTATACATATAAATACACAGTGCTGAATAGTGATACCATTCACCTCCCCTCTTCATCACGATACAGGTTGAAAATGATCAGTTTGAGCCTGTGAAAAAAAAAAAAAAGGACTCATGTTTGGACTTTGCTTCTGCTTTTTTGGAGTTTGTTCCAAACCTTCGCACCACTGACTAAAATGCACATTCTCTTCATAGTGGTTTGAACCCTCAATGTACTTAAGTTAAGATTTTCTCTGGTATCACAGACCCCCACTCCATCAGTGAACATTTTTTAAATATTATCTGGAATTAGTTTATTTCTAACTTTATACATCAGCTGAGCTGTTTGAGAGTCTACCAGATCAGGGAGTTGGAGAAGGTAGCACTCTATAAATAATAAATTGGTATGGTCGTGGAATCCTGCTTTATGAACCATTCTGATGCCTCTTTTTTAAGATAATATAAGATAGACTTTATTGATTTCACAGTGGAGAAATTCACGTGTCACTTCGGCTCTTGTAATCAAAAGAAGGTGATTGCACAAGTTATTGCAGTCATAGTGCAGCATTGTGAAGTCTGATGGCAGCAGGGATAAATGACCTGCGGTAGCGCTCCTTCTTGCAAACAGGGTGTATAAGTCTCAGCTCCTTCATGGTCTGGTGCAGGGGGGTGAAAGGTGTTGTCCATGATAAATGTGAGCTTGGACAACACCCTCCTCTCGGCCACTTCCTCCACCGAGTCGAGAGTGCAGCCCAGGACAGAAGTGGCCATACTCACCAGCTTCAGTCTCTTTCTGTCCCGCACTGCACTGCTGGGGCCCAGCAGACGACAAGCATAGAGGAGGGCTGAGGTCACCACAGAGTCATAGAAGGTTTTAAGCAGGGGCCCGCTCACTCCAAAGGACCTCAGCCTCCTCAGGAGGTGGAGGCTCTGGCCCTTCTTGTACAGGGCGTCGGTATTCTCAGTCCAGTCCAGTTTATTGTTGATGTGAGCACCCAGATATTTGAAACTCTCCACAGTTTCTTGCCCCTGGATGTTCATGGGGGAGTGAGGCGGGGATATTCTCCTAAAGTCGATCACCATCTCCTTGGTCTTGCTGGTGTTTAGGCACAGATGCTTCTTCTCACACCAGTACACAAAGTTCATGATGACCGACTGGTACTCCAGCTCGTTCCCCTCAGACACACAGCCCACAATGGCTGAGTCATCGGAGAACTTCTGGAGGTGGCGGCTGTCCGTATTGTAGGCAAAGTCCGAGGTGTAGAGAAATGGAGACATAACGGTGCCCTCGGGGGCCCTGGTGCTGTAGACTGGCACCTCTGACCGACAGCCATACCGCCGCACATGCTGAGGGCGGTCAGTGAGGTAGTTGATGGTTCAGGGAGAAAGATGTTCGTCCACTCCAGCGTCCTCTAGCTTCCCCCTCAGCAGCACCAGTCTGATGGTGTTGGAAGCGCTGGAGAAGTAAAAAAAACATGACTCTCACAGCGCTCCCGGGGGTCTCCAGGTGGGTGAGCGGCCACTGCAGCACATAGATGATGGCGTCCACTATTTCAATTTTAAGCCGGCAGGCACACTGCAGGGTGGGGCTCACCACGGTGCGTAGGTGGGTAAGGATGAGGTGCTCCAAGGTCTTCATCAGATGGGAGGTCCGGCTGACTGGTCTAAAGTGGCTAAAGTGGTCCTTTGCGTGCGGCGTTTTGGAACCGGAACTACACAAGGCTTCTTCCACAGGGTGGGGACCACCCCCAGGTATAGGCACAGGTTGTAGGTGTAGCTGAGGACCTCACAGAGCTCATCTGCACAGGTCCTCAGCAGCTCTGGGGCGATGCCGTCCCTGCTTCAACAAACCTGATTCTGATTAAGTGGTTCAGTTCAAAGGCTCTGCACAAGCCTGATTATGGCACCCTGACCAGAATCAGGTGTGTTGAAGCAGGGAAACTTTTAAAACCTGCAGGACAGCAGCCCTAAAAGACAGACTTTGGGAACCCTTGGCATAGATCATCCATTGCAGGACTCTTCCCCTGATACCATAGCACTCAAATTTGATTAGTGTTTCATGATTTACTATAAAATGCTTTTCCAAGATTGAAAAAACACCAACTGCAGATTTCTTTTTGTAAAAGGAGCTGGTAACTTCTTAAATCAAGGACTACCATTGCTGTGGTCCTTTGTGATCTAAATCCATACTGACTTTCAGCAGTTCACCAGTTTAATTTTATTAATCAATGTATCCAATCTGCCCACAAATCATTTTTCCAGAATTTAGGAAAATTGTGGACGTGGGCCTACAATTTGTGAAATGGTGTCTAACCCCACATTGGAATGGTGGAATGAAATTTGCCTTTTTCATCCTTTATGGAGATTTACCTGCGAAATTACATATCACAGATGTTAGTCAGAGGCTGAATAATTTCTTCAACTGCCTTCTTAATTATTGCCATCTCAATGCCATCACAGTCAGTTCACCTTTTTTTTCAGCATTTATTGACAATTTCCATCATTTCCCTTTCCTCCACTGCGGAGATAAACATTGAAAAAGAATTTCTGTTGATTAATGTTTCATTCAGAGCTCCAGCTATGCAGAATATGTTTTTTTCTGCCAGTTTAGGTCCCACACTTACAAAATCTTCAATAAAATTATTAACCACATCTTTACTTTTTATCATCAGCATTGTCAGTGAAAATATTCTTAAAATGAACTTTACATGCATGACTTGGTGTGCCATCTGCTCCCTTCTCAAGAAATTAGTTATATTAGAATAGCTTTGTGCACTTGTGCACAAAATAAATCTCACTGACCTGTGCTCAATTAGCATCTCCTCACATTGAGAGAGGTAGGAACCTGGAGTTCAACACACACTGACTAAGATTTATGGACCCATCCCATGCCATTTCACAGTTAATCGGCAGAGAAAAATTATGTATTCATTAATATAACAAAAATGTGCTAAATATACCAAACTCTTGGAAAACAAATGCTTTTTGTGTGTAGTTGATGAAGTTTTACATTTCTGTATGTACAAATAATATCTATGCTTTAATTTGAATTGAATTGAATTAAACTTCATTGATCCCTGAGGGGAAATTGAGTTTCAGTACAACCCGTACCAAGACCAGACAAAACACATAGACACACCAGTTTTGGAAGACCGTGGTAGCAGCCACATACCACAGCGCACTGTTTTTCTGCAGAAAAAAGATACATCAGGAAAGGGGTTGCAGGAAGAGGGAGGAAAAAAAGGCCCAGTGCCACGCCCCCTACTGGGGACATAACTGTGATTTAAAAAAACACCTCAGTACACTAAAGCACAATTTAAGATGGGATCTGCCGTGCCTCTAATGATAATGAGATGTAACACAATAAAATTTCATTGTTTTGTTTTTTTGTTTTGTTTAAATAACTTTTCTAACTTTTGTATTTATGGTGTACATATATTGCCTTTTTTACCTGGGAGTATTTTACCATTAAAATCTCTCACACAAAATAACTTTTTTACTTCTTGTTTCTATCTGTTTTCAGCTCACTTCCCCTGAGCCACAATCAAGTCAGATCTCCAGTGCTGCTGCTGTGGGGAGAGAGGGACGCATTCTTAGAGCAGGAGATGGCAGAAGCTTGCCGCCTCTACATCAAAAATCATTTTCGACTGAACATTATTTCAGGAGCCAGTCACTGGCTGCAGCAAGACCAGCCTGACATCGTAAACACCCTCATTTGGACCTTCCTCAAGGAGGGAGAGGGGCGTAAAAGCTACAGAAACTAAATCCACATGGAAGCCTCCTCCAGCACTTTCCCCTCACTTGCCACTCCCGGAAAGCCTTGAATATGCCTGTGATACCAAGCAACATAGTGATGATGCAATCATTCTTTAACATACTGTCTTTCACATTTCAGCTATTTTTAAAAAAGGCTAGCAGTTAAGAAAAGAGTCAAAGCACACCTCACTGGAGAGAACACTGAAGAGTATATATGACACATATTCAAGATGTTTTTTGCACATGACATCTGCCTTAAAGTTTGTTGGTAACAGCATTACAAATATGTGGCAGAATTTTTTTTGTGACTTGTATTGTGTGGTGCCTTTTAACTTTCAAGATGTTATAGTGTAAAGATTTCCAGTAAGACTGGGAAGTGGCATTGTCAGTTATACTTGTATGTTTCACTGGGTTGCTCAGTTCTTCTTTGAGCAGAGCCCTTTAGGAGCCATAAGCCTCCCACTCCCTTGATCAGGTAGTGTTATTGAAAATAAATTTCTTTTTTGTAATTTTTTCCCTACAAGATTCTTGCTCATATGTGGAGAATATTGTTATCATGATCTTCCTGTATTGAAATGTCAGTGATGGTTGACTATTGTATAATTTTGTATTTCTTCCTAAACACTGCATTTACAAAATCACTGAGCCAGGTCTACACCTTTTGATTTTATAAATAAACTGAGTAAGTGTCAGACATCACAGTCTGTTTTCTAAACCAAGCTATAAGCAGACAGATCCTGTTTGTAACTGTATCACTGTTAGAGAACCAAAGACATAATGAGAAAAGCCAATATATATGTATGTGTGTATATACAGGGATTGGACAATGAAACTGAAACACCTGGTTTTGGACCACAATACTTTATTAGTATGGTGTAGGGGCCTCCTTTTGCGGCTAATACAGCGTCAATTCTTCTTGGGAATGACGTATACAAGTCCTGCACAGTGGTCAGAGGGATTTTAAGCCATTCTTCTGGCAGGATAGTGGCCAGGTCACGATGTGATGCTGGTGGAGGAAAATGTTTCTTGACTCGCTCCTCCAAAACACCCCAAAGTGGCTCAATAATATTTAGATCTGGTGACTGTGAAGGCCATGGGAGATGTTTAACATCACTTTCATGTTCATCAAACCAATCTTTCACCAGTCTTGCTGTGTGTATTGGTGCATTGTCATCCTGATACACGGCACCTCCTTCAGGATACAATGTTTGAACCATTGGATGCACATGGTCCTCCAGAATGGTTCGGTAGTCGTTGGCCCATCTAGCACAAGTATGCGGCCAAGGGAATGCCATGATATGGCAGCCCAAACGATCATGTGGGGAAAACAGTAAAAGCGGACTCATCAGAGAACAATACATGTTTCACATTGTCCACATCCCAAGATTTGTGCTCCTTGCACCATTGAAGCCGACGTTTGGCATTGGCACAAGTGACCAAAGGTTTGGCTATAGCAGCCCGGCCATGTATATTGAACCTGTGGAGCTCCCGACGGACAGTTTTGGTGGAAACAGGAGACTTGAGGTGCTGTGATTTGGGCAGCCGTGGTTTCATGTTTTTTGGATACAATCCGGGTTAGCACCCGAACATCCCTTTCAGACAGCTTCTTCTTGCGTCCACCGTTATTCCTGTTGGATGTGGTTTGTCCTTATTTGTGGTATGCTGACATTACCCTGGACACAGTGGCTCTTGATACATCACAAAGACTTGCGGTCTTGGTCACAGATGCGCCAGCAAGACGTGCACCAACAATTGGTCCTCTTTTGAACTCTGGTATGTCACCCATAATGTTGTGTGCATTGCAATATTTTGAGCAAAAATTTGCTCTTATCCTGCTAATTGGACCTTCACAGTCTGCTTTTATTGGTTCAATGTGCAATTAATGAAGATTGGCCACCAGGCTGGTCCAATTTAGCCATGAAACCTCCCACACTAAAATGGAGGTGTTTCAGTTTCATTGCCCAATCCCTGTATATGTACAGTATGTGTATAGATAGATATATAGATAGATATATAGATAGATAGATAGATAGATAGATAGATAGATAGATAGATAGATAGATAGATAGATAGATAGATAGATAGATAGATAGA